GTGGGGCGTGGTTACAACCAGGCGTGGTGACGGTGTGGGAGGGGCGTGGTGAGGGCGTGGGTACGGCGGGGGCGTGGTGACATGACCCCGGCAGGGGCAGGAGGCCAGACAAAGCTCAGCTGAGGGGTCAGATCTTTGCCAGCTGACCTTGTCCTGCCGCTGCCACCTCTTGGTGCACCGGACACGGGGGTGGTGGTTGTAGAGGGACCCTGGGGAAGCTGCCGTCCCCGCCCACACCTGGAGGCTTTCGTAGTAGGGGCCTAGAGCTTTGGGCCCAGCCCACCCTGCCCACAATAGCTTTGGGTCCAGGGTCTTCCTCCCCACCCCCCACCCCACTCTCAGGGGCCCAGGAGGGGCTCCAGCCCCTGCGCTCCCGTCTCTCCTTTCCCCCGCCTTGGCCTCTTTGTGCCTTCCTCTCGCAGGCTCCTCCCACCTGTGAGTGAAGGCAGCCTCCTTGCGTTGAACGATAGAAACTCTCCTCGACCTAGTTTTGGCTAAGAAAGGATTTGTGACAGGATCACGGGGCAGCTGAGCCAGGAATTCCCACTGAGCTGGGAATGCTGGAGCAGGACACAGAAGGGACCGAGCCAGGGCCGTGCGGAGTGTGGGGGTGTGGACCTTAGGTGAATACTTCGCTGAAAACAGGGCAGGGGGAGCGTGGGGGTGGGGAGGACAGCCTAGGACAAGCTGCATCCAGGCTGGAGGGGGAATGAGAGCCGGTGTCTGAGCAGAGTGCTGAGTTGTTGGTGACCCAGCACAGCTCCTCTGGGAAGCACACGCATCAGTCCTTGCACCTGTGGAGGCTCCGAGCAGAAAGTGGGCCTGCAGTGCTGAAGAACTCTTGGTCCCTTCCTCTTCACAGGCCTAAAGCCCCCTGCAGTTTTTACTGTGTTCTTTTCTTTTGTGTGTGAAACAAGTGGGTTTAGCCAACAGACTCTTTGTTATAGGATGCTCTTGTGTGGAGATGTGCACTCCTTGCCACAAATAGAACATTCAGTGTCTGCAGTTGGAGGAGAGAGGAGCCTTGCCCACTGGAGTGGCCTCAATCAGGCCAGTGGAGTCTACATTGGCCCATCAGGGGCATGGGTGGGCCGTGGGAGGGCTGAGGCCTCCTGCCCTTCCAGGCAGCCTCTGGTTCTGAGTAGATCTGTCCACTGTAGGAAGGAGGCTCAGGTCCAGCTGATGGCAGCGGCACTGGGCCGAGAACAGGAGTAAGCGCACATTGGAAGGTTCTCACTTGTCCAATTCACAAGACGCTGTGGCCAGGCAGGAGAGGACTGGGAGAAGACCCCAGAGACGGCTCTGATGTTTCCAGACAGCCAGGTGCACAGTTGGCCTGGCCACTCTGTCCAGCACCAACAGGCAGGCAAAAATTACTGCCCATGAGGAAAGTCTCTGATAGGAAGGGCCGCACCCAGATAAACAAACCCAAGACTTGGGGGAAGCAGACAGTTCTGGGAGAAGAAAACAGACAAGAAGGAAAATCTGTAAAGAGAAGATGATGCATTCATGAAACAAGAACATGTTGCTGTGAAGAAGCTACATTCAGAGAATAAAATTGAGCTTTTGAGAATTAAAAACATGGTAACAGAAAGGTTGGAACAGAAAGTTGAGAAAATCCCCCAGAAAATAGAGCAAAAATGCAAAAATATGGAGAAAAGAAGAGAAAGAGAAGAATTAGCAGGCTAGGCCAAGAAGCCAGGATTCAAATAACAGACACCTTAGAAAGAATGAACAGAGAAAGTGGAATGGGGGAGTCATGACATAATCCACAAACATAGCATTCCAGATGGAAAGGTCCTCCACTACCCACACCAAGACGCTTTTGTGGGGGAAAATGGTCCAAGAGGAGGGTGGGGAAATAGAACTGCTGTGGCTTCTCCCCAGCTCAAGGGAGAGCGCAGCACAGCTCTGGCGGAAACGGCCAGCTGGGAATTCAAACCCTGCCCAGGTGCCCTTGGAGGGTGGAATAAAGACTTTTCTTTGAGAAGCAAGGGTCAGGAGGGGTATGGCCCCGTGTGCTGTGGCCAAGGGAGACCCAGGATGTGCGGCAGGAGAAGTGGAGGTGGCATTAGTGCCTTGTGCCTGGAGAACCAAGGAGATTCACACCTGAGACACTCACTCTGGAAACAAAGCTGTGTGTGAAGTGAGTGGGTTGGCTCTGAGCAGCGGCGGGGTCTGGAGGGAGGGCCAGAAAGGGCTGGCCCTGGCCTTGGGGGGAATGGGTGAGGAATGTTGCAGATGCATTATTTATGGAGAGAAAGATCCAGTGTTTGCTTTTAGAGAAAGGGAAATTGAGGGGGAGGGGGAATGAGAAATGCTCTTTTATTCTATGTGTGTGTATAACTGATTAAAAATTAGAACCTAATAACAAATTGGGGAGTGGGTTTCTGCTTCTGGCCACATAGTGGTCTGTTATCCTGAAAAACCTTCCCACTACAAAATACCTAGAAATGCTGGTCAGTTTGATCTGTGTCCTGATTGCATAGCTCCAGGAGGCGAAAGAGTAGGGTGGACAGGGGGGATGGGGGAAGAGCGTGGGGTCAGAGGGCTCCCGCTGCCCCAGGGCACCTGGGGCCTGGATGTCAGCAGCCCTGTGACAGACAGGAGACAAGGCCCTGCAGTGCTGGGTGGGGAGGGGCAGAGCCCACCTGAACGGGACCCTCCAAGGCCCTATCCTCAGTGAGAGAATGGCCAATGAGACAGGAACCTTCCGCTACATGGGCTCCAGGAAGTGCTTTTCTTTTAAAATTTCTTTAAATTCTGTCTTGAGAACTTGTAACCATGGTTGCTCTCATATAGATGCAGGATTCAGGTTTATTCTTTCTGTTGACCTGGGAAGCCCAAGCAGAGAGTTTAGCCTTATAAGTGGGCTGGGTTAGAGGTGTCCTGGACAGGGGGCAAATGGGCTCTGTCAAGTGAAGCTGCAGATTCCTGGGGGGAGTCACCTCCAAGGTGGTCTCACATGCTGGTGCAGCCCCCTCCTCGGGCGCTGGGCTGGCCAGCTGGGGCTCTGGCCTTGGGAGGCCTGGCTGTAAGCCCATGCCTCTCCTGGCCATTCCCCTCCTCATCTCTGGCTTTCTTTCCCAGTCTCCTCTTCCACTACGCAGCCCACCTGCAGGTCTGTACCTAAGCCCGGACTTCCCTACCTGGAAGTCCCCTTCACAGACACAGTGCACTGTCTTGGGGTCTGCCCACCTCAGCTTGGCGCTCTCCACCTTCAGCACCCTTCCCACTCTCCTTGCACCCGGGACTTCTTCCTGCACGTGTTAGGGGGGCCCATGCTGTGCCTGGCACAGCAGCCCTTGCAAAGCATGTGGCATAAGTATCTGTGAGGGCTGAGGTGGGCATAGTACCCCCTCCTGTTACCTTACTGCAGACTGGAGTGGGCTGGGCGCTGTGGCCTGAGGGCATTTGGGGAGGTTGGTACCTGTTCTGGTTTCCTAGGGTTGCCATAACAAAGTACCACAAATTGGGAGGCTTAAGACAATGGAAATGTTTTCTCTGACAGTTTAGGAGGCCAGAAGTCCAAGATCCAGGTGTTGGCAGGGTTGGTTTCTTTTGAGGGGCTCAGAGGGAGACTGTGTGCCATGCCTCCCCTGGCATCTGGAGGTGGTCATCCATCCTTGGCGTCTTGGCTCCCGGTGCATCACTCCAGTCTCTGGCTCTGCTGTCACGTGACCATCTTCTCCCTGTGTGTCTGTGTCTCCTCTGCTTACAAGGACAGTCGTTTTGGATTTAGGGCCCACCCTACCCCATTGTGACCTCATCTTGACTAATTACATCTGCAAAGACCCTATTTCCAAAGAAGGTCACATTCTGAGGTTCTGGGAAGGACATGAATTTGGGGGGCCACTGTTCACCCCAGTGTAGTCCTGGAGTCCTGGAGCCTCGCGCTTGGCCAGTGTGTTGGGAGGGCGTCTTGTAGGCCATTGTAGGATTTTAGAAGGGGCAGCCATGCAGATGTAGGGTTTTGCAAGCAAGTCTGTGCAGCCGTGGCCCACAGCTGCTCATGTTGTGGGGTCATCATAGCTCTGCAGCACTTCAGCGAGAGCACCCTGGAGTATCTGGCCAACCTGGACCAAGCCCCAGACCCCACGGTCAGGAAAGATGCCTTCGCTACCGACATCTTCAGTGCCTACCACATCCTCTTTCACCAATGGCTGCAGAGCCGTGAAGCCAAGGTATGGCCTGCTCAGTCTGTTAGGAACCTGTGGCCTCCCCTTGCTGGTCACCCTGTCCCACCCCCAAGTCTGGCCCACGACCACGCGGTCCTGCTCCAATCACCTGGGCCTCTTCTCCTGTTCTTCAGGTTCTCAGGGAGAGGGATTTGGCAAGGAGGGGGATAGAGCCATGGAGTCTACATGTGCCCCCACCCCTGGTGCCCTGCATTCAGGAGGTGGGGGTCTTGTCAGGGTGTGGAGGTGGCCTGTGCAAGGTCTCACCTGCAGGCCCCACAAGGTGCGGCTTGTTTGCTGAGGCCTTGTTGCTGTGGACACCCCCTTCCCGCCCCCACCCTACTCTGCCCTGAGGCCCCAGCACTGCCTGGGGGGAGAGCTGAGGCATGATGACAGCCTGGTGGGTGGGTGTCTCCTACACGGCCCCTCTGGCCTGGCCCTTTAGGACCCCCTGGTCACGTGGTAACCTGAGTTTGCTCACATCCTGCCCTGGGGTCTTGGTGAACGGGCTCTTTGCCATTCCGTCCAGTGTTGACTGTGAGCGTTGCTGAGCTGGTTTGGACATTAACACGGTGTCACTGTCTCCCCTCAGCTCCGGCTTGCCGTGGTGGAGGCCCTGGGGCCCATGAGCCACCTGCTGCCCAGTGAGAAGCTGGAGGAGCAGCTCCCCAAGCTCCTGCCTGGAGTCCTCGCTCTCTACAAGAAGCACGCTGAGACCTTCCACGTGTCCAAGGTGCATCCCCATGTGCTGTGGCCTGTGCAGAGCTCAGTGCACCGTCCAGTCTCAGAGGACCTGTCTCAGATGGGAGGGTGCAGGCGCCCAGCAGGGAGTAGCCCTGAAAGCTGTTCAGATTCAGTGGTGGGTGATGTCAACTCTAAAAATAAAACAGCCAGTTATTTTACCAGCAAAATGAGTTTATTTGGGAATAGCCAAGGAATTGCAATTTGGGACATGCAAACTGTGAACCATAGGCAAGTCAGAGAACAAAGTAGGGGAGTGTTCTTGTATAGAGAAAAGGAAGAAGTTGGGACGGCTGTTTCTGAACAAATGTTTGTTGGAGGAGAGGAGACTTCAGGCTTGTGGTGGCATCTCATTGGCTGGGTTGTAGCAGTTTCTCATTGGCTGGGTTGTTGCTGGGCAAAGAGAAAATCTTCCTTCCTCCTGCTGAGGTATGTAGAGTAAGCTTTTTCCTGCTGGAATATATAAATTAGGCTGAGACAGTGGTACATGCATGAGAGCTCCCCCTTTAGGGCTTCCTGACTCCATTTTGAACAAGGTTTTCCCTTATTCATTTTCATAGTGGGGATCAGGTCAAATTTCTCCCCACCACCTTGCACTGGACAGGAACCTGCACCACTGAGCCTCACCTGGTGTCCCCTTTCCTGATCCCTCCACTCCCCTCTGAATTCTAGAGGTGGAGGTAGGACTTCCTCCTTTGAGCCCTGGGAGTCTCCCACAGTCAGCCAGGGGTGGGGCTGGGGGCTTGAGGTAGGACTGACAGCCCCTCTCTTCCCTGCCCTGAGCAGAGCCTGGGCCAGATCCTTGAGGCAGCTGTGAGCGTGGGCAGCCGCACGCTGGAGGTCCAGCTCGACTCACTCCTGGCTGCTCTGCATGCTCAGGTAGGCTGGGGGCAGGAGTCGGCGGCTGGGAGGGTGCACCTGGGGGCAGGGCCAGCTCGCTGGGGGTGGGGCCCGGCAAGCACACTGGGGGCGGGGCACCATGGGGGGAGCATGCTGGGGGCAGCGTGCTGGAGGGAGGAGTGCACTGGGGGTGGGGGCCATGGGGAAGAGCTGCTGGGGGCGGGTACTTTCGGGGGAGCACCATGGGGGCAGGGTGGGGGGAGACCGCTGGGGTTGGGGCGGGGTGGAGGCAGATCCTGGTGCTGCTCTGCTGGGGCCCTCCATGTGAAGTTGCCTGCTGAGGGTGCAGGGAGCTAGAGCCAGGGGTGGGTGGTCCAGCCAGGTGGGGCTGAAGTGCCGGCGTTCCCTGAGTCGTGTGGGTGCGGCTCTCGGCGATACAGCCACTTTGTCTTCTGTACAACACTGGCTCATGCAGTGTGACACAAGAGTCCCCAGCATGGAGGTGGCAGAAGCGGGCGGCCAGCAGGGCAGAGGCGTCTGCACTGGGTGTGGGTCCCCAGGGGACTGAGTGCAAGCTGAGCAGAGAAGAGGCCCGGGCAGCCGTGAGCAGGAGCCAGCAGAGGGGGTGCAGGAGGCGGGCGAGGGGAGAGGTCCTGAACTCTACTGGCGAAGGGGCTTAGAGGAGGCTTATCAACCGCGCACCCCCCCCTCCCCAGGTCAGATGAGAAGTGGGGAGGTGGCGGGAACGGAGGTAGGTGGGTGGAGCGGTGAGGATGTGAGTCCAGTCCAGGGGATTTTCTGAGTGAGAGAGAAGAGAAACAGAAAGCTGGAGAGAGTGGGGGCAGGTGGCTCTTTGGAAAGAGAAGCAGAGAGGTGTGGATTTATTTCTTTGCTCTACTCCCTTGGGGCTCCTCTGGGCCTGCGGCCCCTCCCACACCAGCTGCAGTGTCAGACTGGCCCCACAGACCCACTGGCCCTGCTGCATATACAGGCTGCCCCTGGGGATCCTCAGTCCCAGGGGAGGAGCAGGGGAGGGCTACAGTAGAGAGATTCGACAGTAATTTAAATGTTATAAGTTCTTTGGTAAAGAACTTGAAAAACTGCATGAAATGGATAGACTTCTAGAAAAATTAAAAACGTCAAAATTGGTGCAAGAAGAAATAGATAACTTGACGAAACCAATAAGGAAAGGGAAATAATATTCCAAGACCTTCCTTCTTTAAAACAAACCAAAGACCCACAGACTTTTAAGGTTCAGTTTTGTTAACTTAGAAGCAAATTCGCCAGTTATTTTATGTTAAAATGAGTTTACTTGGGAATAGCCAAAAGAATTGTAATTCCACATGTGCCTGCACTGGTGAACCATGGGCAAATTTGGAAAAGAAAACAGGGCACCTGCTTTTATAGAGAAGAAAGGCGAGTAGGGAGGGGCTGTTCTAAAGAAAGTTCACTGGGGGAAAGCAGCAGTTCAGGGTGGCAACAGCTTCTCATTGGCTCAGCTGAGACATTTCTCATTGGCTGGGCTGTGGTGTTTCTCATTGGCTGAGCTGGGGCATTTCTCATTGGCTGGGCTGTTGCCAGGTGGGAAGAGAAATCTTCCTTCATAGTAAAGTAGTTGTACTTCCCGTCTGAGATGCAGGCTCCTCTCTTCCTGGTTGGTGTGATTGACATGTGTGATGGGGGTGAGAGCTCCCCCTACAGGCCTTCCAGCCTCCAACTTAGTTAAGATTCTTATATTAATTCCTACAATTCTACCAAACTTTTGAGGAATAATTAATTTCTATCCTATACAGGTGGATTTGGAGATCAGAAAAATATCTGGAGCTGCCTGATTAATTCTGTGAGGCTAGTCTTGATTCTAAATCCAAGTCAGGACCATACAGGAATATCTAAGTATATAATTATGAGGATAGATGTGAGGATCTTGTACACAGTCAAGCTAACTGGTCCAACACTATACTCTCAAAACACGAGATACAGTAGGGCTCAGCTCAGGAATAGGGGGCTTGTTCAGCACTGAGAAGCTGTCATCACTGAAATACATTAGGGAAACTATCCTCTGATCTCAATTGAGGCAGAAAAAGCTTTTGATGAAGTTCAGCACCTATGTATCATTAAAACTCTTAGCAACTGGGATTGGGAAGGAACTTCTGTAACTTGATAAAGTTTATTCACCCAAACCCTCAGTGCACGTCACGATACATGGGAAACAGGCACATTCCCTCTAGGGTCAAGAGCAGGAAGAACCCCCTGTTCTAACTCGCACTGTTAATGGGGTCTGGGGCCAATTCTATATAGAAAAAAACAGAAATGAGAGAGGCACAAGGCCTGGGAGAGAGGACAGGACTACCATTCATCGTTGCCCACCACCCACCCTCGGGTCCTGGTCCCTGCTGTGTTCTTCTCTGTGGCGCTGACCTCCTCTTAATACACTCAGTAGCTGATTGCTTGTTGCTTGCCTCTCCCCCGCTACAATGGATACCACATGCAGTCGAGGTCTTGTTGGTTTTGTTCACTGCTATGTCTCAGCACCTAGAATAGCACCTGTCACTTGTAAGCACTCAATAAATATTTGTTTTATGGGTGATTGATTCATCATCTATAAATTCACTCATGTACAAACCAAAGCAGTACACAAACATTAGAACTAATAATAAGTTCAGCAAGGTTGCTAGTTACAAGACGAACCTATAAAAATAAACAGCATTTTTCTACACCAGTAGTGACCAACTAGGAAGCACAAACAGATACCATTTACAATAGCAACAGAAACTTATTGTGAAGTATCTGGGAATTAACTTAAGCAAGAATGCCTAGGATCTCTATGGAGAAAAAGTTTACAACTCTGAAAATATAACAGTGAGAAGAAATGAAAGGTGTAGCACAATATCATTTACTTAATATAAAAATGATTGCATGAAACAACACACGTGCAAAAACTGTAAAAACAAAGAATGATTATCTGTGGGATGGGGATGGGAGTGGAGAATGGGTTTAATAGGGAAATATAAATATATAAAAGCTGAAAAGGTGGAAAAATGTGATATTTCCTTTTCTTTGAGGTGTCCCTTCGTGTCTTTTGTTTTTCTGTTGGGTGTTAGGTGTTTTTCATATTGGTCTTTAGCAATTATTTATAGTCTTGTATCATGTGTATAAATACTTGTTCCTACTTTATCCTTTATTTTTGGCTCTGTTTATGATATTTTTTTGCCATGCAAAATTATTTAATTTTCAGATCATCATTTATCCATCTTTTATGTTGTAGTTCAGGTTTTGTTATACTTAGAAAAGCCTTTTGAATTCTGCAGTTATTTTTCATATTCTCCCATTTTCCTTTTTCATTTTATTGTTGAATCCATCTGGAATTTATTTTAGGGAAGGAGTGAGAATCCAATTTTATCTTTCTTCCAGAAGACTAGCTGTTTGCATTAGTTATCTATGCTGTGTAACCAATGACTGCAAAACTGAGCACCCTAACACAGCAACTGTTTATGTCTCACGGTCTCTGTGGGTCAGCAATCTAGGAGCGCCTCAGCCAGATGGTTCTGGCTCGGGGTCTCCCATGTGGTCTCAGTCACACATCATCCAAAGGCTCAACTGGGGCTGGAGGGCCTGCTTCCCAGATGGCTCCCTCGTGGTTGTTGGTGGGAGGCCTCAGTTCCCTGCTGTGAGGCTCTCTCCACAGGGTTGCTGGAGTGTCCTCGAGACGTGGCATTGGCTTCCCCCAGCGGGAGCGATCTGAGGCAGCAGGCAGGAAGCTGTGGTTCCTTTTACAACCAGATCAGGTCTTTCCAATGGAAATAACAAGGAGCTACCTGGGAACCTGGAGCAGAGCCCTGTGGCCAGCACCTCCACCTCACCTGCTTCCTCACAGTTCTCTGAGAACTGGCAGAGTCCAGGTTGGGACGGAGCCTGTGTTCTGGTGACACTCTGTACTGTTGGTCGCCTCTTCTGGTTCATAAGATGGTCTCTACTGAGGAGTTGCCTTAGGGCCCTTTGCACAGAAGCCCTGCTAGTGTCCTTTGCCTTGACCCTAAGGGGTGAGAGAGGACTAGGATGCCACCCTGGGGCTCAGCCCTGGCTGAGTGTGGGGGGCTTCAGTGTCACCCAACATGCAAGGCAGCCCTGATACACCTGCCACCATCCTCAGGTTCACTTTTACCAATGCAACTCTTTTTTTTTTAATAATTTGAACGAATGAACTCTAGGTGTTTTGGTTTCCAGCACTATTCAGATTGTAGAGATTAGTGGTTTCCAGCTGTGCCCAAGAGTGTATGCCCAGGGGAAGTGGGAAACTGTCTCCTTTCTCATAAAGAAGTGTCTCTTGGGAATTTATTCTCCTGGCTACTGCTGGGAAGGTCAGAGTGTGGAAGGAGCCAAGACTCTTGTCCCTTAACACGTGAGGGCCAGCTGTGAGTGCTGCTGTCTGTCTCCCCTCCCCCAGCTGCCAGGGCATGGGCTGAGGTCCCTGAAGCAGACTTGACTCACAAGGGTGAGTGCGTCCGTGCAGCCAGGTGAGAAAAGGCCAGAGTGACCTGCACCTGGAGGCTCAGCTGCCTGCCGTGGTGGTTGAGGTAGAAGCCCAGAGCCCTTGGGAGTCTGCTCAGGCCCAGCATCTTGAGGAGCGCCTATCCTTCCCTCCAGCCTTGCTGGGCCCAGGGTGGCAGCGCCATCCCCTGTGACCTCTGTCCTCTGTCCCCTGGAGTAGATTTGTGTGCCTGTGGAGTCGTCAAGCCCCCTGGTAATGAGCAACCAGAAGGAGGTGCTGCGCTGCTTCACTGTGCTGGGTAAGCAGGCGGCCAGGCGGCCTCAGGCATGGAGGCCATCAGTGGACACGCGTTTCGGCACTCGCCGTGGGGGCTGAGGGACTGCTTGTGTATAAGGGATGGTGGCAGCTTTGGGTGTGGGTTGGGGGTGAGGAGGACTCTTTGTCTACCTCTGTCTGGGCCCATGTGTGACTCTAGGGGCCTCACAGCAGAGGTCTGGCAGGGCCGCAGCCCTAAGCATCCATCCTCCTCGGCCCCCAGGTTTCAAGGTGCAGGCAGGGAGCAAAGGACAGATCATTACAATTTTTGATGTGTGCTTGGCCTGTAGCTTGCCGCTCACCTGACCGCCTGCTGGCCTTCCTGCTGCCCAAGCTGGACACCAACAATGAGAGGACCCGTGTGGGCACCCTGCAGGTCCTGAGGCACGTCATCAACTCAGCTGGTGAGTGCCCAGTGTGGAGCATTTCCTGAAAAAGGCAGATATTGTCCATCTTTGAGGTGAAAAGGAGCATCTTGCTTTGAATTCTTTAAAAAATTTTCCCAACTTTCTATTTTGCAAAATTCCAAACTTTGTGAAAAGTTGCAATAGTACCCGTCTGCCCACCGCGGATGTCCATCACCGACATTTGCCTTTGACAGCGAGCTGCAGACACTGGGATGCTGCGCCCCTACTCCCAGGCCGAGCATTTGCCACACGCCCCCTGGACTGAAGGCTCAGTCTCGCAGACGTGCCACACGTTGTCTGTTATGGCTGCCTCTCCCTGTGGGGTCTAGTCAAAGGCACACATTGGAGTTGAGGCCAGTTCTTCTGTAGAATGTCCCTCAATATGCGTGTCTGATGATTTCCTCAGAATTAGATGCAAGGATTCAGGTTTCCTACTTTAAAGGCTAATTTAATCAGCAATGAGCTTGAACATTTTTCACACCTGAGTTTGTGTTTTTGGTGAGTCTTGTTCAGTAAACAATGGCCATGGGCCACGTGGGGCCTGCAGCCTGCTTTTGTGCAGCCCGCGAGCTAAGAGTGGTTTTTACATGTTAACGGGCTGTAACGGCAAACAAAGAATATGGGACAGTGGTCCTCGGAACCTAAAATATTTCCTTTCTGGCTCTTAACTCAAGTGTGCTGTCCCCTATCCTGTGAGTTGCGCTATGGGTCGGTGCCGGGTCGCAAACAGTGCCTGTGGACATACGGCAGCTTATGGAGTTTGGGAATGATGAAGCAGCAGCTTGGGAAGGGGCAGAGACAAGGGAAGACAGTGGCAGCCTGGACCATGGCCCAAACTGTGCCATGAAGCCAGGAGTATGGAGCCGTCAGCACACTGGCTCCCTGGGGAAGGGCGCCTCAGACGCAGAGGATGGTAGCGGTCAGACAGAAAGTAAAGCCCCCAGGCAGCCTCTCGTGAGGGTACCATGGCAGTACTCTCCCTGCCTCACAGATGAGGAACCCGAGGACGGGGCAGGTAAAGGGACTTGCCTGCGTGGCTCCTCTGGTGGCTGAGCAGCGTTTGAAATGGAACTCTTGGTCCTGCTCTGAGGCCCAAGGCAGCCTCACCTTCATTTTCTCGTTGATTCGCTATTTCCTTTTGTTAGAGATGCTTATTTCCATGCGGAAGTTCAACATTTGTAGGTAGTAATTAACCTTGCTTGCCTTCCTTTGTTAATTCTTCCGTTGCATTTATGTTTCAGAAGTCATTTTGGTTCACCTGTGTTTCATTTTTCCTCTAAGTTCTTTCTCTGTCCATTTACATATATATATTTGTGTATACACAGAGAAGTAGATGTTTGAATAGTAGTTCAAAACATGCTTTTCCACTCCCTGGTATATCTTAGAGCACTTATAGTGTCAGCACCTGTAGCTGTCACGTTTTATTATTTTTATTCTGAAGTATAACACACATACAGAAAATGCACACGTTTTAACTGTTCAGCTCCATGAGTTATCACAAACTGAGCCCTATGTCGGCCACCCTGTGAGGAGTAGAACACTGAGACACCCAGAAACTGCCCCAGGCCCCTCCCACAGGGAGCCCCGATCTGACTTCTGACAGCAGAGGGCGGTATTGCTGTTTTGCATGTTTAAATAGAATTGTGGAGTGAATTATTTTGTATCTGGCTTCTTTCCCTCAATATTCTGTTTGTGAAATTTATACATATAGTATAGTTCATTCATTTTCCTTTCTGTGAAGTATCCCAGTGAATTAATCTACTATAGTCTTTCCATTCTAGTGGTGATGGGTAAATGGCTGCATCCAGTTTTTCACTATTATGCATAAGGCTACTATTAACCTTTTTCCTGTACACATTCAGTTGAGTGTATACTAGGAGTAGAATTTCGAGTCATAAGGTTGCATATGTTCACAACTTTGGTAGATAAAACCATTCTATTTTCCAAAGTAGCTATTTGTACCCTGTACCTTTTACCTCAAAGCAACATGTGAGCATCATTGCTTCATATCCTTGCCAACACTTGTCAGTCTTTAGTTTTAGCCACTTTGGTGGGTGTGTTGTGGTGTCTCATTGTGGTTTTTAAAGATTATTTATTTATTTATTTATTTTCCCCCCAAAGCCCCAGTAGATAGTTGTATGTCATAGCTGCACATCCTTCTAGTTGTCGCATGTGGGATGTGGCCCCAGCATGGCTGGAGAAGCGGTGGGTCGGTGCGCGCCCGGGATCCGAACCCGGGCCGCCAGCAGCGGAGCGGGCGCACTTAACCGCTAAGCCACGGGGCCGGCCCTGTGGTTTTTAAAAATTAAAAAATATATTTATTTTGACTTACAATGAGAAATTCATTATTAGCTTGTTGATTTATTGGAAGTCCTTAGAAATTTTTTTTTCCTTGATGGCAACCAGATTTTATTCTTTTTTTTTTTCAACTTTATTGAGATATAATTGACATATAACATCATGCAACTTTAAGGTATACAACCGGATGGATGAAACAGCCTTTCCCCTGGTGGGGGCAGCTAGATCAGAACTCCCTCTCCCCATCCCAGGCCGTATTCATCACAGGAGCTGCTCTGTCCTAAATGCCAGCTGTGTCTGAGGCACTGTTCATGTGTCTGAGCTCCTGTAAACCTCCTGGGCACCCACAGGAAGGCACTATTAGAGTCCGCTTTGTAGGTGAGGATAGTAAGGCTTGGTGAGGTTTGGGAACACCCTCAGCCCTCGCATCAGCACAAGGTGGTGGATCCAGGATACAAAACCAGCTTGGGGTGAACCACGGCCCTGCTGTTTTTAGAAGTCCTCAAATTTTGAATGAAAATAGTGTAATATGATTAACAGTTGGGGCCATGGTTGGATTCCTCCATGGTTGGTCCTAAAGGAAAGGTGCTCATTCCTTTGCACTGTGGTCCAGGAGCCATTTCTTGTGTTAGATGGACATCAGGTCATTCCAGTCAAATTGGCTGTATATCAAAGCCTTGCCTCTGATTTTCTTTCCTTCAGTATCTTAGTGTGTTGCTTCATTGTCTTCTATCATCAGTTATTGTTATTGAAATATCTGATGACAATTTGATTTTCCTTATAAGTGATTTGGGCTTTTTTGCCTGAATGCCCCAAGGATTTTTACTTTTTTATTCTAAATACAGAAATTTTATTGACACTGTTGGCTATCCTGGGGTGATATTTTTCCCCAGGTTATGTGGAGTGCTCTTTCTTTTTTTTTTTTAATTTTTATTTATTTATTTATTTATTTTTTAAAGATTTTATTTATTTATTTATTTTCCCCCCAAAGCCCCAGTAGATAGCTGTATGCCATAGCTGCACATCCTTCTAGTTGATGCACGTGGGACGTGGCCTCAGCATGGCCGGAGAAGCGGTGTGTCAGTGCGCGCCCGGGATCCGAACCCGGGCCGCCAGCAGCAGAGCGCGTGCACTTAACCGCTAAGCCATGGGGCCAGCCCGGAGTGCTCTTTCAATATGTAGTTTCAAATCTTATTTTATCTCATGAATTTTTTTTATCATAGTATTTTAATATTCTACTGCTTCAGAAATTCTTCTTTGGAACTCCCTGTTATGTGTGTGTTGTATCATCTTTGCCTATCTTCTGTACTTTTTAAATCAAATCTTTTAAAGTTTTTTGGCCTCCAGTCATATTTTTTTTTCCAGAATTTCGTCTTCTAGCATTGAGAATAAACTACTTTTAGTAAAATGCACAAATCTCAAGTGTACAACTTGGTGACATTTTACACATCGTTCACCCATATGACTGTTACTCAAATCAAAATGTGGAACGTTCCCAAAAACCCAAAAAGTCTCCTTGTACTTATTTTCAGACAACAGCCACCCCTAACCTAAGAAGTAACAACTTTTTTGACTTCTATCACAATAAATTAATTCTGTCTGTTCTTCAGTTTCATGTAAGTGAATTCACTATAGTAGGTAATCTTTTGTGTCTGTCTTCTTTCACTAAGCATAATATTTTTGAGATTCATACATGTTGTTGTGTGTATCAGTTCATCCTTTTTTGTTGCCAAGTAGTATTCCATTACATTTAGTGAAGAAAAAATTTATTTTCCTGTTAAAGTATGTTTTTGTTGTTTCTAATTATTTGCAATTATGAAGAAAGCTGCTATGAACATTCTTGTACAAATCAATTCGTAGGCATGTGCACCCGTTTCTCTGGGTGTGGAATTACTGGGCCATAGGAAGACAGGTGTATGTTCAATATTATCAGAGACTGCCAGATAGTTTTACCAGCTGTCATACTGTTTACATGCTCACTTATAATGCATGAGAGTTCCAGTGGCTCCCACATCCCTGCCAACTCTTGACATTGTCTGTCTTTTTAATTTTAATCATTTTGGTGGGTGTGTGTGGTGTCTCACCATGGATTTAATTTGAATTTTCCTGGTGAGTAAATTGGTTAAGCATCTTTTCATATGCTTATTGACCTTCCGATATCTTTTCGTGTGTGGGAGGTTCCTGTTCAAGTCTTTTGCCCATTGTTAAATTGGGTTGTTAGTTATTATGGTTATTTTTAAGAGTTCTTTGTCAGATACATATAGATGGAGATGTATATTCTTTTATGGTTAGTGCCTTTATGTCTAAGAAACCTTTGCCTTTCCAGAAGTCGTGAAGATATTCTCCTGTTTTCTTCTAGAAGCTTTATCGTTTGAACTTCCACATTTAGTTCTATGATTCATTTTTGATTAATTTTGGGGTATGGTGTGAGATGTAGGGAGACAAAGTGATTTTCTTTTCATGTGGACATCCAGTTGTTCCAGCATCACTTGTTGAAAAGACTTTCCTGTCCCCCCCCAAATTGCTTTAGTGCTTTGTAGAAAGTCAGGTGACCATCTGCCTTAGTCTGGCAGGGCTGCCTTAACAAAGTAGCACAACCTGGGTGGCTTCAACAACAGACATGTGTTGTCGCACGATTCTGGAATCTAGATGTCTAAGATCAAGGTGTCAGCAGGGTTGGTTCCTTCGGAGGCTGTGAG